GGTGGATCAGTGCTGCTGGGACTCATTCCTGTTCCCAGTGTGTGCTGTATTTGGACATTGTATTTTATCTGTGGGTATTTTATAACCCTAGGTTTGGGAGGAGGGTGAGGTAGGGGAGCAGTAGAAGTATAAGAATCTCACACACGGACATGAGTTAGTGGGCCGCTTTGTAGCTCTGGTTATTAGAACAGGAGGAAAGTTGTCAGTGCAAATTGGCCAACAGACAGCTGCCATTTTTCTTTCAGTTTCAGTTTCACAGAGGAGTTTGCTGTTGGCACTCTTACCTTCCACCCTCCTTACTGCCTTCCGCCCTCCTTACTGTGCCTTCTGCCTCCCTTCTTCCCTGGATATAAGATACTTTATACTTCTTTGTTTTCAACCTTGTTCTTACCCCTGTTTGGGTCCTTGCCTCATTGTATTGTAATTATCTTTTTACTTTTCTTCCTTGTCTAGATGTAAGCCCCTTGAGGGCAGGTACTTCCTTGGGTTTTTATTTTATTTTATTTTATTTTGGTGGGAAGAAGTAATTAAGTTTATTTATTTTTGGAGGAGATACTGGGGATTGAACCCAGGACCTTGTGTATGCTAAGCATACACTCTACCACTTGAGCTGTACCCTCCCCCCAGGTACTTCCTTGTTTACAGTCCGTTTCATTACCTACCACAACTTAGAGCTCAGTAAATGTTGTGGAATTATAACTGGGTTTTCCTTATTAATATTAATTGTTATAATTTATTAAAAGATTTAAAGTCTATTATACTACTTCCCTGTTTGTATTAAAATAAGTCATGATGACTGAAAATCTTCTATGTGAGGCATTGCCCTTGGCCCTTTACATGAATTTTCTCTAATCCTTATAATAATTCTAATGGATAGGTAGACTCCCCATTTGATATTTGAGGAAATTGAAGCTCAAGAGGTTTATTACTTTTCTAAAGTTCATACTTGTCCATGCCTCTCAGATTTTTAAGTCAGTGCTCTTTCCATTCCGTCACATGCCCTAAAGGGTTGATGTACCTGTCTAGGGGAGAGACTGATAGGAAACTTAGCACACTTGCCTTTGCCTCCTGAAGTAGTATTCAAGAAGAGGAGGCAGGACCAAGTCAGAGGTCAGTTATCTAGAAGGCTGTGTAAAAAGTTTCCATGAAGGGACTAGGGGGATAGGAAGTAGACCAGGAAGTAAATTAGGAGGGTCAGAGCAGGAAAAGCTGCTTAGTTAGACAGCAGACTGGAAGGACTGGAGCAGTTAGGAGGCTGGAGTGGCAAAGATAGAGAACAAGGAGGGACAAGGTACAAGCATGTCACAAACTGGTTTGAGTCAAATCTCATGAACATGGAGTTCTGTTAATATAAGTCCCTTAAAGCACAATTTGATGTATTTTGCTAGGCTAGGGGTCCTCAAAGTGAAATGCCAGACTGAACAGAGCATGAGAGCCAGGAACTAGGAACCCCTAATGAATTTTTTTTAGCTGATTTAATGGTACCTGGCACATAGTAGACACTCAATACAGGCTTTTGAATCAATGATGAATTTATCTAATCTTTTAGAGTTGCTGACATGGAAGAGATGCTGAGAACACTGTAATTTTGTAAAAAGACCTTTTATGTTCAACCAGCAATGTTCATAAGGGAATAAAATAGCTCAGCTTGAGATTTGGGGCAGAAGTTTGGGAGAAATATCGAGAGATATATTCAGAAAAGGAATTCTTGTCGTATTTGGACTGAAAAGAAAGAAGGGGCAAGATAGCTGAAGTTAATGACTTGATGCTTGGTCACTATATAATTAAATTCAGTAAATGCCTTTTAAACACCTATTCATGTGCCAAGACAGTGTGCGAGATATTGTGGTAGACTAGTAATACAGGGATGAATTAGATAGCCCCCTCTTTGGAAACTCCCAGTATAGACTAGACTAGAGGAAGGTACAGAAACAGTGACAAGGCTTATTGTCGGTGCTATTGTAAGATATATGTCAAAGGAAGTAAGGGAACACAGAGAAGTTCCATATTAGTTCGAGTTAGGTTCAGCTGAGATAGACATAAAATTCAAATTAACAGCCGTTTATGTGAGATAGAAGTTTGCTTCCCTCTCACGTAAATGCTTGCTTGGGTGGCCTGGGGCCGGTGTAGTGGTTCATGGTGTTAGAGTATCTGTGTTAGTGTTCCATTGTGTGTGGCCTCAGCCTCATGGTCTGAGATGGCAGCTTCATTCAGGCAGCAGGTGGGGAAGAGAATGAAGAAGAGGCATAGAGCTGTTTGCTAAATGTGCTTACATTACACTGGTGAGAGATTCATTGTATAACTACCTCTGTAGTTAGCTAAAAACGGGAGGCCTTACCCATGTACTCAGCTAAAAATGGGAGGAGTCCCTAACTTAGAAGAGGAGGATGAATTTTGCAAATCAGCTAAAAGTCTGTCACTAGAATCGAATTTTACCTTTCAGAGAAAGTGATGATTAAACAGAGACCTGAAGATGCTGGAGGTTAGCCAGGTGGACAAGATTAAGGAAGGCAGGAGGAGGCATGGGGATGGAGATGAAAGAGAGGTTGGCAGTTCATGGAACTTCAGGTCTTAGGTATGGCTTCAGCATTGGATAGGTAAAGGGGAGTGGCCTCAAATGGGCCTGAAGAGTCATTAAGAGCTGTGTCTGTCATTTTAATGTTTATATTTTATTTTGTAGTCATTGAGAGCCATTGGGAAATTTTAAGCAAATGAATGACTTGATGAAATCTCTCTATTAGAAGGGTAGCCCATGTAATTTTGAATGGCAGATTTTGGGTGTGGTAAGCCCGCTTTAGCTCAGAGATCACTCAGAGAGTTGTTGCAGTGGTCTAGGGGAGAGCTAGTGATCTACTTTTAGTTCCCCCAGCTTGCCAAAATGTTTCTTTTTCCTTCTTTCTTTCCCTTCTTCCTTCCTTTGTTCATTCGTTCCTTTGTTTGTTTTGTTCCTCAGTTAAAAAAAAATCAAGTTCACATACTGTAAAATTCACTCTTTTAAAGTATGTGAATCAGTGGTCTTTGGTCTATTCGCAGAGTTGTGCAAGCATCACCACTATCCTGTTCCAGAACGTTTTCATCACCCCAAAAGAAGCTCTTACCCATTAGCAATCACTCTTTGTTCATCCCTCCACCCAGCCCCTGCCAACCACTAATTACTTTCTGTCTCTATGGATTTGCCTCTTCTGGACATTTCACATAAGCAAAGTCATATAATACATGGCCTCTTGTGTCTAGCTGCTTTCATCTTAATATGTTTTCCACATTCATCCATGTTGTAGTGTGTATCACTATTTCATTCCTTTTTTGGTTGAATAATATTCCATTGTATGGATATACCATATTTTGTTTATCAGTTCATCATTTTTTTGGCTATTATAAATAGTACCACTGTGAACATTCACGTACAAGTTTTTGTATGAGCATATATTTTCCATTCTCTTGGGTATATATCTAGGAGTGGAATTGTTGGGTCACATGGTAACTCTTACGTTTAGCTTTATGAGGAATTGGTAGACTTTTTCCAAAATGGCTGCATCATTTTACATTCCCACCACCAATGTATGAGGGTTCTATTTTCTCCACATCCTTGCCAATATTTACTGTCTTTTTGATAATAGCCACCCTACTAGGTGTATAAATGGGTTGCCTCTTTATTGTTGAATTGTAAGTTTTTAATATATTGCGGCTGCTAGACCCTTTTCAGATACATGATTTGTGAATATTCCTCCCACTTTGTGGGTTCGTTCTTAATAGAACAAAGAGTTTTGAAAACAAAAGTCTTTTAGTTTGGTGAAGTCCAGTTTGTTTCTTCTTTGGTTGTGTGTGCTTTTGGACTCATGTCTCAGAAACGGCTGCCTAATTCAAGGTCACAAAGACTTACACATATGTTTTCTTCTAAGAGTTTCATAGTTTTAGCTCTTACCTTTAGGTCTGTAGTCCATTTTGAGTTAATTTTTGTATATGGTGTGAGGTGAGAGTCCATATTTATTTTTTGCAGATGGCTATCCAGTTGTTCCAGCACTATTTTTTGAAGACTCTTCTTTCCTGCATTAATTGTCTTGGTACTTTTGTCAAAAATCAGTTCTGAATTTGCAAAGTGTGGGCCCTCTAATTTTTGTCCTTCTTTTTCAAGATTGTTTTGACTGCCAGACTGTTTCTTGTCTTCTAACTTTTTATTCTCTTTGTCTAGAAGACTTATCCTACCTTTGTTCTCCTGGAGAATTTTACTTATCCTTCAAGATTCAAATCAGTACAACTTCTCTGTGAAGCATTTTGTTTCTGTATTTGCAAAACCAAGTGCTCTCTCCTTCAAGCACCATTTTATTTATCTGTCTTCCCAAATGCAAGAATGGGCAAACTAGGGCCAGAAGGCTAAATCCAGTCATTTACCCTTGTAAAAAAAATGACCCAGGAGTAAGAATGGTTTTTCAGTTTAAAATGGTTACATTTTAAATGGTTATATGAGTACCTAAATAATAGCCTTGATTTTGCTCTTGGCCAGTAAAATGTAAAATATTTCTTATCTGACTTTTAGGAAAATGTTTGCTGACCCCTGCATTTATCATGTAAAGTATATGTAATATTTTATATTTCTTTCATACTAGAATGATCAATTTAAGGCCAGGAACTGAATCTTATTTATTTTTCTATTCCTGTTGTCTAGGAAAATACTTGTTACCTGGTAGGGATTTAGTGAATGTTTTATAAATGGATGGTGCGACACAAAGTGGTATTTTAAAATTATAACTTAACTACTGTTATAATATCTTGTGATTTTTTGGCTTTATCTAGTTAAATTCTGTTAATAAGTATGAATTATGTAAATTTCAGAATTTCTTTACACTTTAAAAAAATACTTAGAGTATACTTATGGAACATCTTTTTAACAGAGAGAAAAATTAGAGTACAGATAAAGTAAGATGTATTCAAGAACTGTATAGCATGTTGGAAACAAAAGCAGTTTTCCTTCTCTTGATTTTGCAGTTCTTTCTGTGGAAAAGATCTGAGTACAGTTGAACAGAGCAGGCTGCTGTGCCTATCAGCTTTGTTTCCACTCTGCCTGGTTCCATCATCTTGCCATATCCTAGGCCAACCAGATGTGCTTCCTTTCTAAAATAAGACGAAAAGAGCTCAGTGTATTTGTGCACACACATACAGATGCACGCCAGGGCTGGCATATAATTTTAGGTGCTTTCTCTTCCCTGTCGGCTGGAGTTACATATTGTGGAGAATTCTGAGGCCATGCCTGAGATCACTGAGTAATGTCTGCTCTTGTTGCAGGAATAGTGACATGTATTTACCTTCCATAGGTGGTGGAATGAGGCACAGCGTGGAACCTGATTCAGTTATTTCCAACACTTATTTTTAGGCAAGTTATTTTGTTCTTTGGAGTCTTAGTTTTCTTATTTGGAAAATGAGTCCAGTAATACCTTCTTCACATACTTGTTAGGATTAAATAGGGTAATGCATATAAAGTACCTACCCAGGGTTTTGCAGATAAGAGGTGCCTAACAAGTGTTAGCTCTTAAATAGGGATACTTCTAAACCAAACATGATTGCATCATGGCCACGTGTCTCAATTTTCAGGGCTGATACAGCAGGCAGCAGAGAAAGAAAAATAAATGAGATATCTCTTTTGAACTTGCAACTGGCTTTATATATAGATAATTTAGAAATGCATTATTTACAAAACAAAAAAGGTTATCACTTTCTGTTTGGCTTTATTTCCTACATTACTTACTAGCTGCTTACTCAGAGGTGAAGTTTGTCTTGGCTTTTTTTTTTTTTACATCCCTTCCACCTTGACACTCATTTCACTGTTAACCACAGACTTAGTTGAAACCCTTTCATCTTTTGGCTTTAGTGAAAACACCAGTTTCTAATCAATTTCATTCATTTTGGGGGGAGGAAGGGAGTGTCCTTTTTGTTGAAGGGACAAACTTGTATGTTTAACTTTAACCATTGATTATTGATTCAGTGGGTAGTTAAAATTTGGCTGAAAGGTTCCTAGGAAGTAATAATGTCCCTGTGTAGTTTAAGGATGACTATATGATACAAGATTAGAGTAATTTAAAAATACTTAATGGAAATATTAATTCACCCCGTCTTTTTAAGAAGATAATTTGGCAGTAACTCAGAGCAGGGTTATTAATATTGTGCAACTTGGGTTCAGCAAGTGCATGTCTAACAGTCTCACAAAAATAATGGGAAGAATGGTAAAAATATATTTTGTGAGATGTTAGTCAACGCATAATTTGTAAGGCAAACATGAGAAACAACCTAAACACCTGTCAATAGAAAAATAGTGAAATTATGACTCATGTTAACGATTCATTCGTTTTTTAAAAAATAAGCTAGAGCTATTTATGTACTGAGCTTAAAAATGTTTGACATATTGTTAAGTGAAAATAATCAGGCTCTGACACAGTATGTGTAGCATGATTTCATTTTTGTTCAAAAAAGGGTGTGTATATACTAAACTTTGCATAAGCATAGGAAAAAACACATTAATCTTAATAATGATTTCCTTTGGAATTTGGTTTAAAGAGTCAGAATAAGAAACTTCCACTTCTTACTATGGGTAGTAATTATGGGTGACTTTTACAATTTTTGTGTGTACTTGCCTATGGTATTTCAAGTAAAGCAGCCTTAAGAAAAAGCAAAAATTAATGGAGAACAGTAAGGGGGAGATATGGATCCAACTAGCTACTTTTAACTTACCAAGAATGCCCTTTAAAATTGTATGTATTTATATGCACACTCATGTGTATACGTACATCCATTTATGTATACGTGCACAAACAGTACATTAAGCTGTAAGATACATTGCAGTGACATGCATTTTAAAGTGCAAGACACAAAGTGTTTTTTCAGATATCACAGTGTACAATAATAGTTCAAAGTTTTTTAAGGAGTGACAGGATTTCTTTTGGAAATGTGCAGTTTTTCTAGTTTTGCAGTAATACGTGTTCCGGTTTCCTTAATGCATGTTACAGCATGTTCATGTCTCTAAGTTAAAGTTTACATTTTATGATAATTAACCAACTGCATGACCTTTGAAACTGAGCAGAGAAAGTATTCCAGAGCAGTGAAACTCTCAGTACAACCACCCTGGGTTTGGACTGTAAATTGGAATTCTTTTTTACAAAGTTAAAAAAGTTGTGTGGTTAGTGATTCATGATTTCCTGTTTAAATTCATTTTATAATGATCTCTTTTATATGCAAAGTTATTTGCTTATGTCTGTGCTTTTAATTTTGTTTCATTCTGAATATTTTTTGAAGAATTGAATTTTGTGACTTGTTCTTTTTTAGGTATAGAAATTTAAACTCCTTATGTAATGAAGAAAAAGTCCTATTCCAGAGCCAATAATCAAGGTGTACCTAGGTGTGTCAGCTTTGGAAATTTCCTTAACCTTTCCTTCATTGTCACTGGCAATTTTAGATTTTTCAGAGACTCTTCAGTTTGCAGGTTATCTAGGCTTCTGTTTTCTGCCTTCAGTCCCCTGCCTGCCCCCTGGAATGGCAACCATTTGCTCTGTTCTTTGCCTACTGAAGGCAAAGGCGATGACTAGAAGCTGTGGATTTTGTTTTTTAGGCCTGATTAGCTTTGTGTGTAATGGATAACATTAAGTTTATAAAATTTCAATGAGATCTCTTGGGTTTTAAATATAGGGTTAATAGCAGCAGTTAATAGCTGTTGGGCCAGCTTGCTTTTTGAGACTTGAAGTTTCCTGCAGATTTGGCCGGTTTCTTCATCGATTTTTTTTTCCATTCATCTTTTTCATGAGACTGTGACATTCACAAGTGAATTGAGAAATTGAACTACTCAGAATCTAACTATGAACTTAATGAGAGAGACCCAGTCTAGAAGAACGATTAGCCTCTAAGATCTTATTCATAACCATCAGGATATTAACACAATAAAAATTTACCATATTCCAGGATTCCTGAGGGGAATAGTCTGGATAACCTAACAGGCTTTTCCACCTCTGATGATTCATTTTACCTTATTGAAAAATTATCTTTAACAGGAGGAAATGAGTAGGCCTGGTAGAACCAGATTCTAAACCTTGCTGCTTCAGCGGGAAGGGAGTGATGTGTCAGTCAGGGCTTGTGGTGGCTGTTAGTCTACAGGAACACACTGGCCAACTTCTGTGCAGTTGGTAAGCACTGCTGTATGGCTGGGGACAGGTGCGGCCTACACACATCTCAAAGCAAGTGACAAATTGCTATTTTTCTAGGGATTCCGTTTAGCTGCAAATTTAAGGTTTAGCTAAAAATTTAAGGTTTATCAGCAGTATTTTCCCAACACACAGTATTTTCTGTGTGATTTCTTTGTTTTGAAGTCTGTAGTCAAAAAAATGTATATATTTAATAATAGCTTCTGTTTGTTGAGTACCTGCTTTGTGCCAGGCACTGTACTAAGTGCTTTACATTTATTATTTCCGCAAAACCCCTGCAAGGTAGGTGTTGTTATTTTCATTTATACATGAGAATTAAACACTTAGATCTTTTATCAAACTTCCTTTCAGTCAACTCTTGCATTCTTCTTTTCCTTCTTTTTTTTTTTTTAGTAACAGTGTTACTGAGATATAATTCACATGCCACAAAATTCACACTTTTCAAGTAAGTGTACAATTGATTTAGTGGTATTCACTATATTTACAAAGTTTTGCAACCATCACCACAACCTAATTTTAGAATATTTTCATTATCCCATAAAGAAACCCCAAACCTATTAGCAATCACTGTCCATTTCCCTCTTACCCTACTCTGGGCAACCACTAAACTTCTTTCTGCCTCTATGGATTTGCTTATTCTGGATTTTTCATATATATGGTCTTTTGTGACTTCTTTCACTTACACCTTTTCTTTTTAAAGTATCAGTCAGATATTACATCAGTCAAGGTAGTTGATTCCAAAGAATAAAACAATATTGATGTGGTAACAATTCTCTTCTTATCTTTGAGTAAAAAGATATTTTGAATATGTAAATTTCCCAGATGACTGATACTTATTTATCATAAGCGCATTTTAAGAGCAGAAGCTATTTAAATTTGAGTCATAGTTGACAGAAATCATCCTAAATTGCATGACCTATTTCTCTAATTTCTCAAGCATAGCGTAATTTAACCCTTTGTTAACAACCTGGGGTTCATTATTTTGAGTGCTTATCGCCCTGTACTCTGTTACTGTGGTGTTCTTGGGCATTGGAGGTGTGTAAGACTGTTCACCTCTATACTGAATGGCTTCTGATTGCTGTGCTTTTAATAGTTTCTGATATTCGGTCTGAGATCAGTTCATTTATATTAGATTTGAATTTGATTACATTTTCTTAATTTTTCCCACATTAAGCAGTGCATGCTCATTGTAGAGTAAGTAAAAAATCATAGATAAGCAATAACAAGGTGAAAAATTACCCATGTACCATAGAGCTAACCATTGTTAATATTTTGGTTTATATCCCTAAAGTCATACATACACCCACAAGTGCCCATGTGCAGGGATGTATACATATGTGTAAGGATTTGATATATTCTGTTATCTACTTTTATCTATTTTTTCTTTTTCTTTCTTTTTTTTTTTTGCCAAATAGAATCATATTTCTTTGTAATCCACTTTTTACATTTCAATAAATGTATTTTTACAACTTAAAAAAATAAATGAACATGTCAAAGAATTTTGCACCCTATTCAAAAGAGAATCCAAGGAGCAGACACTTGAAATAAATTTACTAATAGATGTAACATTGGTGTCTTTTGGGGGATGGAGGTGGGGCAGGGTGATAGTATCAGTTACCTTTCCCCTGGACAAAATTCAGTTGCATTCTTATCAATTTTATACAACTTACAAAGTTGTAAAATAACTCAGTCAATGACAGTGAAAGCCCCAGACTCCTGTAGATTCAGATAACTCTGGAAGGGTGTGCCTCTGTTCTATTGAAGGGACACTCAGTAATCTTTTTTACAGAATCATTTTTAATAATTGCATGCTATTTCATGGTATGTTTATAACATATTTAACCTTTCCCACATTCTTGGACATTTAGGCTATTTCTGTGTTTTCAAGTTTAGCAGCCATGTGCATT